CTTCCCAGTTGCGGCAGTGGTCACCGGCTCGATTGGGCATCGAGGCGTATTGGGCACCTTGGATGTTTGATCCAGTCCAAAGGGCGTATGATCCGATGCACTAGACACCGGCTCCCAATGGAGTGCGGTTTTCACACACTGCCCCGCTGTCTTGCGGGTCAGGCTTTGGCTAGTCGAAGGCTCCGGTTGTGGATTCCTCAAGAAAATTCACCTGCCTTGACTTGGACAACCCGGCAGTATTCAGCCCACATGCAAATCATGGAACGCTTGTCTTGTTTATAAAGATTATTGTATCATGATTTGTTTGGCACACAACCTATGCACTCGCCTACGCGAACACACACATTACAACGCAATGACTGAAATTTACTTCTCTGGAACCACTGCGCAACGACAGGTTGCGAGGCCCAGCGAGCACGTAACAAAATGTACCACCATTAGAGTACCACGTAAGGTGTTTCTGGGGTGCTGGAAACGAGTGTTAGCCACGACCAGCCGATTGAGGTCAGCAAATGTGACTAGGCGCTTGCCATTTTCGCTACGTGGATGGTGGGTCTGGTGTACAGATGACTTAGGTTCCCAGCTTGTTCATTTGTCATCCCAGACACTGGGATAGCGCAGGGAGCGTCGCTTTGCGGGAACGCCGTAGTATGAACGTGATGTAACATTATAAAACGATTTATGAAGAAACTTGGGAATGAGGTACCAAGTGACATCTCCAGCGTCGCTCGGCTTTTGTTCGAGGGTGCACCTCTAACCCTTGTACAATCAAGTGCGACCTACAGGGTAACAGGATGGAATAGTTGGTAGTGGGTGACCGTTACAACGGTTCATAAGCCGTTCGAATGATGCAGTGCCAGTCCAGGATCCCAACGTGCCCGTAAGGTCTGAGGGTTGGTATCTAGCACTTATCTCATACACTCCTCTCAAAGCTTGTCCTACCCGGGGTGAGTAGACAAGTGGTAATGGCCTTATTTGGTGGCGGGCCACATTCGCATACGCCACGATGCCGTCAGCAGACAATTAGTGTTTTTGAAATGGATATCGGTTGCCAGCTAGAAACCCCACCAAGTCCTCTAGCATCGTCGCTGATTGACCGCGACTGATTATTCAGCGGGGTGGCCCCTAACTATCCGCGGTTAACCACCAAGGTGGACGTTCTCCTATCTACGACCGGGAGGTGCGCTCGGCAGCATTAAGCTGTGTTATCGTAGGCAATTCATTGGCTAAGCCTATGAATGATTCGACAAAACTTCACTGGAAGCACATGACCGGTTTTGCGATTCTTGCCACACGTCAAGCATGCGTATTTGGTAATCTTTTTCATTTCATTCACATGTTTGTGTCCAGGAAGCTTACTGTCGTCGCAATAAACTCATTTGCAACACCGGGTAAATTTGACAAATTTGTCGAATAAAGACGCTTAAGTCACGTTTCTGGCGGTTATTGGCATCTAACCGACCTAAAAACATCGAATTCTTGTATTGATTCATAAACGAACTTGTTTAGAAAGAGCTATCTAAACAAATTTACCCGGTGTGGCAAATAACGTTATTGCGAAGTGTATATATATATATATATATATACATACCATTTGGAAATACGGAAACCAAAATGGGAGCAGAGAAGTTCAGGCTCTGTAGTCATACCGAAGGACTTAAAGTACAGTACATCTAAGAGCTTAGATACAAGCTAGTAATGTACATGTTCTTAAAAACCATCACAAGGTTGGAAATGAAAGTTGTGAGCAGCAAATTCCAATAACCTAGGCTCTTATTGAAGCCACTCATCATGAGCTCTGTTCACCATGTCTGATGGAAGTCCTAGTTACTGCCTTCAATTAAAAACCCTGAGTTTCAACAAAGCGACACGGTGAGAAGCTGACCGCGCTAGTGAAGCAGAAGCAGCTAGCTCGCCTGGGCTAATCGGCAAGGTGATGATGCATAATGACGGCAAAAACATTGTACAATTTACGGTCAATGACTATTTAGCGATGAAATGAAATAGGGAATCTTAATACGAGAAACTCTCCTAAAGGGCGAATGATTTAACTGACTACACACTAGGGGCGTAATTTGTGAAATGTAAACCTCCAGGGATATATGGATACAGTAGCAAAAACGGTACTGAACTAAGTGGAAAAATGATTTTACTACCTCCTTCGGACAAAACTGTCTATGCATTACTTCGTATTGGTAGCAAAATTGCCCGTTTGAGGTTGACAACATCAACTTAAGTGTTGTATCGGTCTTCCATTGTCATGAACACATAAGACAGTCGTCCCTTGTCCCCCTCCCCTAAATACCCCAAAAATGTTTGTAATGACTATGTTGTGGGCAGCATTTGGTCATGGAACCGATTTTTTTTCTTCTCGTTGTGCAACGAATCTTTTACCATCAAACATTATGATATGATAGGTTCTCTGTAAGGCATTTTTATACGCCGTGTGATAAGCTGCATTGTTGACTCCCCTTTATATGGTAGAGGGGATATCCACATCTCTCCGCCATAAAAAGGGTATTATGGCATAATTTGTGATTTATTAACAAGCGGATGAATTGCAGGCAACGAGCTTGTTCTCCAGGGATGGAAAGAAGAATTAGCGACAGATTGAACTTTATCTAAACGTTTAAAGTACTAGAAGATGGGCGAATAATAAAACGATGCAAGGCGAGTAGTCGGAGAGTAAACAGATGACCGCTGAAAACTTTAAAACAGACCCACAAAAATGCGACACAAAACATAATTGTACAGCGAAATAAAACATTAACCATACCCGATGTGAACCAAAAATTCCAACAGGCGTTTTTGACCGCCTTCAGTGAACAGCTTAAATCGTGATGCCGTTAGCATGCTTGTTTCCATTGTTTCTTTCAAGCTCCAATGTTTATATAGCCAAAGAGCCAGTTCATCTTCAAAAACTATTTCAATTTTGGCCTTGCTTTCTTCAACAACACTGGTAGCTGAGTGTGTTTGAACTGCGTGTCCCAGACGACTCACGTGACTCTGGAGATAGTCCAGCTGATCAACATAATGCTCTCGGTTGATCGAATGAGTGAGTAATTGAGATGTCTGACCGACAATCGCATACCTATGATCAAGAAGAAAAAAGTTGTTAGACCGTTGGTTAATTGCGATATTATCCATGGTTAGTTTCAGTTTCATATTTTACAAGTAATAACCATGCACCTTCGTGCGGAGGTTTCGGTTGCTGTCTTTTGGCCGCCTATTTGGATAAAAGAGAAGGTTGAAATGCTGAGAGCAAATTCAAGGGAAAGATAGAGAATCCATATAGAATGGGGATGCAAGGATGATGAGTTGATGCAGAGGTACATAAACTGTACTAAGCTGTAAAGCTGAGGCCTCACTGATAGATTACATACCCAATATTAGTCGACTGTGTGCAATGAGGCTCCCGGGCTTGATTATTGTTCAGAAGGGCAGCAACATCAAAAGGTGTTTGCCTATCATTGCCGCATATGCACTGACCAACTGTAGTCCCAATACACAAAGGGACGAGTTTTATGAAAAACTCACCGAGCTCATTCGGTGGAGCCGCAGTTCTAATAGTATCGTGCTGGTAGATGATTTCAACGCACATGCTGAAAACTGAGCGCATCCGAAACCTATCTAGGAGGGCATTTCGCTCTTCTCGCTAAGCGAACAGACAACGGTGATCGACTACTTCAGTTCTCCGTGATCATCGGTTGTTCTTATCTAGCACCAACTTTTGACACCACCCTCGCCGAACGGCTAAATAGTGTTCTAGTTCAACGGGAAAGTTGGCCCAAATTGACCACATAACTGTAAGCTACCGTTGGCGTGGCTCAGTACAAAATTGCAGATCCTACTGGACCACCTGCGTTGAGTCGAATCATGCACTAGTTCAATTACGCTTCACTCTTCGATTCGTTAGTCATCGACAGAAATCGCCTCCTCAATTAGCTCACCATCGTCTGCGCATATTATGAGGAGAAGCTGGGACAAAAGCTTGGAGAAAAGCGACAGTGGAATAGATCAACAATGGGACCAAATTAGAGGTGCGATTCACTCGGCTGTAAACTTTGTTTGTGGAACCGAGCCACACGTTCGCCGAAGACATTGAATCTCTCAGGAGTTAGCAATCCTGATGGATCAAAAGCGAAAGGTCCCAATCTGCCAGGATCATCATAAGGACTGGTGGCGCCTGCAACGTCAACTCATGAATAGCCTTAAGAGCGATCGTGAAAATTGGTGAGCCAAAATAGCTAGTGGAATGGAGGTAGCTCCTGCATCAGGGAATAGTCGAAGACTGTTTCACCTGATACGCAGCACCGTAGGTGGTCGCATACCGGTCATTGAGACCACTTGCGATAAAAGTGAACAGAGTATCCACAATAAAGAACGACGACTCGATCGATGGGCCGAGTACTTTAGTGAACAGTTCAATTGTTCTAGTGCTAATGCGGTTCTTCCAGCAATTGCAGCGGAAACTCCATGGGTGGTAACACGTGAGCCCCCATCGTAATTAGAAGTACGAAGCTGTATTCAGTTATTAAAAAGGGGAAGACTGCGGGATCTGATGGGTTGCTCCCCATTCTTTTCAAAAAGAACGATGACCCTCTCGTTGACTCTATTACTAAGTTGTTTCGCGGTATTTGGTCGGAGGAGCATTTCCCTTTATCCTGGGGTGAATCGTTGATCGTCCCGATCTTCAAGAAGAGATCACGCAACGGCTGCACTAACCACCGTGGGATTGGTCTAGTTCCGATAATCACAAAATTGTTGACTTCTGTGATACTTCGCCGCCTGACACCCTGAAGGGAGATGAATATTTGCGAACAGCAAGCAGGATTCCGACCAGATCGCGGGTGCATCGACCAGATCTTCACTCTGTGCCAAGTCCTTAAATGGTGCTCCACACATCGTCGATAGTGTTCCTTGACTTGAAAGGAGCCTTCGATTCCGTTGAGCATGAATCCCTAATGGGTGCACTGCTTCGCAAAGGAATACCGCAGAAGCATGCTGACGCAAACAAAACAATACAAACAATGAACTTTAACTTGCCCAACGATTTGCTCATATAGTTTTCCCTTCTCAGAGAAAAACGTTCTACGTCGCACGCATTTTATTTCCCAAGCTTTTCCTCTACCTCGAATTCACCCCCTCAAACATTTCCAGTTTCATCAGGATCTTCAGGTGATTGTCCTACCAGTTGTAACTCAATTGGAAATTATGCCGCTATTCCCTCACGTCCTACCTCGAATAGCGTCCAAGTTTCACCGAATCCTTCGCCACCAGTTGAAGCTCTTCTGTGTCTTCGATGCCCGTTCAAACTAGCCACGTATAACGTGCATCCCCCGATGCGTATAACAGGCATATTTGGCTCGTATCCTCGAGACACTAGCCATCGAAGTGTGTTGTGTCCAAGAAACTCGCATTCAAGACTCCAACTCCACCATTCGATTGAGGCCCCCGTCAAATCCATGCGCGAAGTTTCACCTGCGTCTTTCTAGGGACCCTGAGGCTGCGGCTTCTGGCCCTGCTGGCGTTGCCGTGGCTCTCAGTGAGAGAACTGAAGCCACTCTCCTAGAATGAATTCCAGTCAACAGTAGGTTATGCGCAGTGAGACTTGGAGGCTCGTGCAAAGTAAGCATCTGTAGCTCCGAAAGACGTACCTTGTTTGTTGTCTCAACGTACGCACCCACTAACTGTAGCCTAGATACAGTCAAAGCTACTAACTACCAAAAACTACAAGACCTCTTGCGTAAAGCGAATCGGACCGATATCGCGATTTTAGCAGATATGAATGTTGAAGTAGGCCGTCCGACTTCGCGTAAGGCGCATTTGGGAGATCCTTCTGGACTAGATTTCTGTCACGATGAGACTACCCATCAAGACAAGACTGCAACTTGACGTGGTGTGATGGCAAAGCCACCTGCTTGGGTACCTGGCTTCTTATCCACTCTCGCCCCTGACGAGGTCATTCCAGCAAATAAACACGATAAGGGGCAGTTTACCGGTCCAAAATCCCGCTAGGCGGATGCAGGAGCGGGGTGCCTGGGGCGTCCTCTCGACGGTGGGAGAAGTATTTACATTTCAGTGGACAGCTAGCGCCCGCCCGAACTAGGCAACCAATAAGAAGCCGGTCCGTCCACATTCTGCTTGCCTCAGTGGGTGCATAAGACTAAGAGCCAATCCCGAACAGTGGACAGACAATCAACGCACCAACGAACAATACTCTGAACCACGAGAAATAATCCGACGCATCACCATTACTGTAGTGATGCATCACACAACACTGTAGTGACAGCATCTATGTTTTCCGTACAGGTACCTTTCCCGCATTCAGATTTTGTTGTTTTACCAGATTAAGACCACCCAGTTNATCGCGAGCCAGTTTTTTTTTTCAATTTTTGCACGCTTACTCACCTGTCATCAACATCATCATCGTACAGCGAAATACAGGGAAGCGAACTTCAGTGATTGCTGACAAACTATCGCAATGTGAGTGCATTGGGGTTTGATGGACGGGTACCGCTAGGGTGCCCAGCCACTAAGCAGGAGAACGATTAAGGTTCTCAACCAAAGCCTTTAGTTTTGACAAGAACCTAGCCGCAAGGCAGCGGGTGAAGCGAAGCGAAGATCCATTTACTCGGATTTATTACTGCTTCACCACTTTTACCAAGTGGAAGGCAAATTCTAGTCGGACCCCTAACCTGGAGAACCAAGAGACTGAACTTCGTTCGACCTCTATCCACTGACCTTCAAGGCATCATTAGATCTTCGGCTTAAAAACCATCCTGTGTAGCTCGTTGGGTAAGCGAGGTGCACAAGCCATCACACCACGTCAAGCTCCAGTCCCGTCATTATGATGATAGCTCCCCCACTGGTAATTGAACCCGGGCCACTTGGGTGGGAGCCAGGAATCCTGTGCGCTTCTCTCTGCTCTGCAGATTATAGCAACACAATCCTCATTGAGGTTTAAGAATATCAGTCGCTTTCTCTTTGGTTCGTTCCTTCGTCCATTGTTTGACGTAGGCATTGGTGGACATCATTAGTTTAGAAACTAAATTACCAAAAATGAAGCTTGCTACAATACTAGAGGTATACAAAAAATTTGATTCACTTCCCAAAGGACTAGCGGATGATGGAAACTTCCCTGGTGGCATCATCACTGCAGTGTAATACAGTAAATTGAACTTCACCGATCCCTGTCAGCAAAAAGCATCGAAAAACCCACGTAGAAAGCACGAATTAAGCAACTGCTTGGGGTGAAAACCAGTAAGGACGAGAGTGAAACAAACTCACCACAAAAGACAATTGTTTTCCTGAGAAAGTCTCCATGCAAGATCAAAAATAACGACAGATGACGATACAGTGAGATAAGAGAAGCTCTCATAATCCATCAATATATCTTGCCTGCGCCTGAGCCACCTGCGTTTTTCAATCCTTTTCTCTAATAACTCGGGACCCAGGCGCTTGTCTTCCTTCTCACTTTCACCTTCGGAATCATCGTCACTCTAACCATGATTACAATGATGTTTGCATTACCGAAAACTGTTGGAAAACATCTTCGAATTTGGGTACATCAGATGTATCTTCGTTGAGACAAAGGAGCTTTACTTGTCTTTGGTTGTAAAAATTGTTTACGTGTATTGGGCGATGACTGAAAATCGATCAACTCAACAAAAAATACCTGTCACAAACGTAGAAAATAGCATTCTGTGGGGGTTCTAGAGCTTCCACCACATCGAAGTTTGCACCACAGTTCAGTAGCACAATGTCCTCAAACTAGTGAGTGTAAAAGAAGTAAATCATGAAAACTAACCGAATCTCGATGCACGTTGTATGATTGGCGCAATTCCCTTTTGTCGGAAACCATCAACAACGTATACAGTATATTTCTGTAAATAAAAAGTTCCTGACGATGAAAATCGGGGCACCACCAAACAGTACCTTCAAAATTTTCCACGCGCATAGTCCATCAATATCAGGATCCACTAAGACTAAAACACGCTAAATAATAGGATAAAACATGATCGCTAAAGCTCACCTTGCCCATTAACCCATGATAAAATTCAGAACGAGCATCGGTGAGTACCACCATACCTCAGATACGGCATTCCACGAACAGCACACGGAATACTGAATTGATCGAAAGAGGACCTATAAAATCTCTGCACGTATGACAAACACTAGTGAATACTAAATGACCCACTTGATAGAAGCCAAACACAATCAAAATCTATGTCATCCGTGAAAGAAACCAACAGAGAAAACGCATTTAATTATATTTTTAAAACATTCTGCATTATTGCCTTACATTCGTTGACTGATAAAAATTGCGCTCCTGTCATTCGTACGCATTCCTCAGTCGAATAAAATTTCACCATTCTCGGAGCAGAATGTTCGTAAAAACTCAGGTCAGGTCAGGTCGGGTCACAGGACTTGCGGCTGATGCCAATTTGAGTCCAGGTTCTTGCACTGTGAGCGTATCGTTTGCCTACGTGTGCTTCGACAATAGAGAGTCCGTTGCGAGCTGATTTTGGCTCCCCGAAGTCGATTTGGGCAAATTTTCGGTCTATTTGCTACCTCTGTAGCTGATAAAATACAAGTCTGAGGAGAAACGCCCGCAGAAAAAGAAAAGAGAAAGAATGCCTGCAGTTTAGGTATAACCTAGCCGAGCGGGTTGGTGGAACGAGGCAATGCTATACCCTAAAAGGTTTCCTCATTTTGCGATTATTTGGATACACCCGACCGGGTGCAAGATACGCTTGTGGAGGAGATATGAGAGTACGCATTAAGGTAAAACGGATTGTATGGTAGGTGAAAGCACTTCAAGGGGTCCCCGGTTCAGCGGATTTGCGTTTTACGATGGTCTGTCGTCCGAGTTGCCCGAGTGCTCTTCCATTCACCAGACTCCGCGTCTCCTGTGTTCGTCTTTCAGTACACGCATTAAGATATACTCATGAGCCGATTATGTCCAGGTTGCCGGGGTACTTCGTATGGTGGTGGTACACAACAGGTACCCTTTTGGCTATTGAGCCATCTGAGTCTACCTACCGCACGGTAGCATCGCTGACCCTATCAGGTTCCCAGAGCAAGACGTACCAGCTGCA